TCCCCTTGAACTTGAGGCCATTGTATCATGTGGGATGTGAATAGACTGTCGTCTCGTTGGCATTTCCATATGTAAGTCGAAAACATTGGCAGATGAATGTCTGCCCCTTGAAGTAGAAGAGATGTTGCCATATGGATTATTGGTGAAGCCACGTGGGTTGAGATCATAAGCAGTTGCAGATGAATGCCTTCCTATTGAACTTGATGGCATGGTATATGGCGTTGGATCCGCCATTAATGATGTGAAATCATTACAGATAAGTTGTGTCGGGCTATCAACTTGATCAGTTTGATATGCAATGCCAAAGTGAGAGGAATATGAGAGACCACGAGTTACACGAACCTCAATAAAAGTGGCATACATTTCAATAAGAGATTGTGAACTCCCCATATGAGCATCAACCATCATAGAAACATCATCATCGTTTGAAAGCTGAAATGATGTATACGTGAGCGGAAAAAGTTCAGTAGGAAATCTGTATTGAAGTGAAGATAGTCTTCTCTGGCCTGCTACACGAATCTTTAACGAAATTTTTGTGATTAACTCCTCAACTGTGATGTTTCTCTTCAAGGTTAAGGGGATATAATGATCTGACTCAAAAACAACCCCCTCTTCAGCTTCCTTAATTTATCCATCATACAAAACAACAGCAGAAAGACGACTCATTTTCAGAGAATTTGAGAATTTAGAGTTTGGGAATTTGAGAATTTGAAAGATTGTGAACTGAAGTTTGTTTTGAAAGTTTATAATACGTTGCATATAATAGTTTCTATAATCGGTTCACTATTCACGTGAAGGCGCGTTCCCGGGGGCGCGCCTTCCATTATTTCGTCAGAGAATATTATCATTGCCCTATTATGTCATTCATGTCCCTCGGGGACACTAGATATATCAGTACCTATTATTTCACTATTCACGTGAAGGCGCGTTCCCGGGGGCGCGCCTTCCATTATTTCGTCAGAGAATATTATCATTGCCCTATTATGTCATTCATGTCCCTCGGGGACACTAGATATATCAGTACCTATTATTTCACTATTCACGTGAAGGCGCGTTCCCGGGGGCGCGCCTTCCATTATTTCGTCAGAGAATATTATCATTGCCCTATTATGTCACTCATGTCCCTCGGGGAATAACTTAAATTTAACTTCTTTGAATGTTCAACAAGTTAAGAATAACTTAAATTAAAACGTTATGTGAAGTTTGAAAAATTAGATAAAATGTTATTGATAAATTGAATAAATGTGAAGTGATAAGTTGATTGTGACATTGAAATTGTATGGAATGAGCATTGAAATGTGACATTGAATAAATTGCCAATTCACCCCCCTCTTGGTTGATTCCGTCGATCGATGAACTCAACATAAGTTGATTTTAATGTATACGTTTTAATATATATGTTAATGATAAAATCATATGTATGGAGTCCTTTAATTTCAATTTAAGTATTGTGAACTATAATTGGAATATAACTTTTAATTTCGAATACAATTGGAATATTAAGTTGAAATTTAATGTTAAATTTCGAATACTATAATTTATATTTTAAATTTAAATTTGAATAATATTATTTTTATTTTTATTTTAAATTTCGAATAATATAATTTGTATTTTAAAAACATTTATCAAACATTTAATGTTAAATGTGAATAAAAAATAACATAAAAAAATATGTATGTAACAACCATGAAACATTTAAATAACATAACCAAATTACATAAAATTCTGAAATTTAATTATTTAAATAACATTAAATATAACTGGATCACCGATGTCGTCGTCTCGAATGAGTTCCACATGGCGGTGGTTGCCTATAACTGAAATTTAATTATTTAATTGAAAATATTTAAATCAAAATTTAGTTCGAAAATTACCTCAACAATAAGGGGAATACGTATGGTTCATTCACGATCGGGCATAAGAAAGGCATGCGGAACCACGCCCATGATTGTAGAAGCAGAAGACATCCACCGATAGCAGTTTTCTTATAATTCGTCGCCCGACACATTTCTCTAAAGAGAAATGTCAAAACTGCAGCACCCCAACTATATCTTCCAGCTTCATCAAAATCGATCAGATGCCGCAACCACATACAATGCACCTGGTTGCGAGATTTGTCGGGCATCAATATTCCTCCAATTATTCGTAGAATATATGCCCGAAAAAATTTATCTAAAATACGATCAGCATCCTAAATAATATATATTATAAAAAGTAAAAATTAATATAAATTCATAATAACTTTAAAATAAAAATAAATTTAAATATTAACATTAATTATAAAAAATATTACCATATCGCTAAAATGTCTGGAGATATGATCAATATCCAATCGCAACAGCATTTCGTTTTCCATTATAACTGTAGACAAAACAATATAATTAGCAAAAAAATTAATAATTCTAAATAAATAATAATTATATAAATATTATTTTAATAAAAAAATAATATTTACATAAATATATTAATATAAAAAATAATAACTATTTAAAAAAATACTAACATAAAAATAAATTTCTTACCACTAATAACAAATTTAAAACTCAAATAGTTGGAGAATTTGAGTTATATAAGAGAGGAAAAGATGATTTTGGTGTGAAGAATGAGTGAGGGTTGAGGGGGTTTTATAGGGGAGGAGGAGGGGTAGTTAGGAAAAACGGATGGGGGCATTTATGACATTTAATGGAAGGCGCGTCCCCGGGGATGCGCCTTCCACACGTGTCTGCTGATATGGCAAAGGCGCGTCCCCGGGGACGCGCCTTTCACACGTGGCATCCAACTCAGCGAAAACACGGGTAAAGCGCGTCCCCGGGGACGCGCCTTTGCCAACTCAGCAGAAAGGGTGCTAGTTTTGGAAATATTGGTCGAACGGTGTTAGAAAAGTAAAAATAAAAATAAACGGTGTCAGTGGGGTAAAAAAGCCAGAAATCTAAAGAAAGTACCGTTTTCGTACGAGAGTTGGTAATGGATGAGGACCCTCCGAAGGAGCAGTTTATATGGGCAGGAGCTAACACTGGTAGGTAAAAAGTAGGAATTTTTTTTGAAGTTTGATAAGCGTGACTACTATTGGTTTATGGCTTTAGCTAAACTGCTTCTGCCGTAGAAAAACTATACTGTTGAGCAACATCAAGTGCCAATCTTATTGCATGCAATAATGGCTTTAGATCTACTCTCAGTTTTATTGCAAGTGCCAATCTTATTGCATGCAATAATGGCTTTGGATCTACTCTCAGTTTTATTGCAACTTATTTTGATTTCATAGATTCATTAGTAATTGGGTAACTACATCCATGATCACTAAAGTTTGAATGGGTTTTTATTTTGATCACTAAGGTTTAGATTTATTTAGAAAAATAACAACAAAAAATTAGAGAAATAAAGATCTCGAAAAAGTAATTACGAAAAGACGTCATTTTAAACTATCACCATCTAGATAACTGCTTGCTAATCCTGCGAGAACTAGCAATTCTTGGATATCTTCGTGATTGCTTGTGGTTGAGCAAATTCAGTTTCTCAATCATTGTGAGCCACATTATGATGGCATCTGGAGATGGAATGTGTTTGACAGTAAAATAAGCACCCTAACACGCACAAAGACTAGGGATGAAAGAGTTGCATCTCATTGTTGATTAGGAAACCCTTCATCATGTCTCTACGGTGTGCTTGAAATATATTAGAGGGATGTCTCCCAGGCTACTAATACGTTTTGCAGTCTGTTCTTCTGGTATTTCATTGAGGGTGCTTTCTTTCGGTGATGTTTGCTTCCTAATGAGTAATGAAAGGGTTATATTCATTTGACTTCAAAACAGCACAATTGGTTCTCAGATGAAACCCATCTTCAAGGACCTTGCAAAGTTAATTGGCAGGGAACGGTATGCTTACAACTTGTAATAAGGGATTGAACAACGGCTGATTTTGATTGTTTTCAGTGTTGAGTCAATCGAACGGGAGTGTTGAGTTCATAAAGTAGGACTCTCAACACCGTCGATTCTCTGCCTCCAGTCAATTTACAGTATTGGCCAATAACCAACCACCAGCTAGAAGTCACAAATCTTACAGCTCTGCACGTGCATATCTTCATCCACCAAGGTTGGTAGGTGGCTTGCCGAGACCTACTTTCCCTGGCCTTCACCACATCCATCTAATAAATTGGGATCTACCGAACAAATACAGAACCATTGTCGCTCGTTTCTCACAAGACCCAAAGAAATGGCTGGACATACAGTTTACACCCTCTCACAGGTCGCCCAACACAAATCAAAGAAAGACTGCTGGCTTGTCATTGATGGCAGAGTAACACTGGTCCTCTCTCTCTCTCTCTCTCTCTCTCTCTCTCTCTCTCTCTATCTAGATGTGATTGTTTGTTCCATGGAGTGAATAACAGCACTTGAACTTGACTAATTCTTGTAGGTACACAACGTGACAGAGCTCCAGGAAGAACATCCTGGAGGAGAAGAGGCGTTGATAGAGTGGGCAGGGAAGGACGCCACACAGGCATTCAATGATATCGGGCACAGCAAATTGGCTCATAAGTTACTCCTCAAGTACCGGGTAGGCATTATCCAGGGTTACACCACTAAAAACGATGCAGATGTCCAGGTTGCTTCAACTGAAGAACCCAAGAGAATGAGATGAGTGCTTTTGTAATCAAGGATGACCACACTCCTAAATATGCAGCCTTGTCGAGTTCTTCCTACCACTCCTGGTTGGTGGTTCCTACCTCGCTTACCGATACCTCACTGCATACTCCTCAACGGTCTAATTCAACCGGTATCACCAGGAGTTTCAAGATGAACCACCTAGCCAAATTCAAGATGCTCCCCCTTCCTTATAACAAATCTTGTTCTAGAATATTATTAATAAAGTTAGAATTCTGCTCAGAGCTTAGTCTCTTCTTATCTCTGATCCAACCATCTGAATTTACAAACAACTTGATGTTTAAAGAATCAAAAACAGAAAATATCATATGGACAGGACACGACCTATAAGGTGAGATGAGATGAGACAAGCAAAGGAATTTCCACATTTTCCATAATTGAGGTCCCAATTAGATAAATTTTCCACTTCCTTTTCACAGTTCCTAATTGGTTACAACTTAAAAAGGAAGCCCGTAGGGAAGGGGAGTTAAAGTGCTACTCGCTGTGCATTAATACAAAATACTCTTCAGGAAGAAAAAGAAAACATATACGTTACATGATCCGACTTCCTCAGCTCAATCTATCATCCCTTTGCTCCCCAGTAACAACAGGACTTCCCTTCACTCGAAAAAACCAAAATCGAAAGATAGACAAGAGGATGTCAAGGAAACTAAAAGGGGGAAAGGTTCTCTTGCTTTTAACCGTACTACCTTCATTCAATACTTCACTGAGTGTATCATCCAGGTGCCAGCATAACATGCACAAGCTAGGCTCCTTAACCACCTTCCCCCAAATATGAATTGCCACCAAGTATAAACTTCCCGTCGAAGGTACTGTATCCTTTTCATATCATATGATATGTGATTAAAACTGCAGATGATGACAAGAAGATTAAGCTTCATAAACTATGATGAATTCAATTTGAGAAAGATTATGTGAATATGGATACAAAATATAACATTAGCACCAAAATAAAAAAGCATATAAAGCAACCAATGATTTTACTCTACTATCAAGACATTTCTATACACCCCAAATGATCTCCGTCCCGTAATGTTTTTTACTATCTGAGAGTGGATCCCCCGCATAATGAATCCCTGGCTTATGTTGTGCTATCTAAAGTCTAAACCATAGGAGTTATCCACTTCTAATTTGTTTTTATTGAAAGCAATTACAATATTTTATGCATAACTTTATTCACTAGCCAATCTTATCGTATTTTTATCCTCCATCAGATTACAAAAAAACTTGGAGCCCATAAAGCAAAATTGTTTTAGGAACCCATCAAATGCAAATTGTTTTTAATATCCAGCCAAACTCCATTCTGTTCAACCTGGTGTAGCTTTAAAACATTGTCAGTTTTCTTACCACTTATGAGTGAACAATACTATACACCAAAAATGATACAAACAAGGCACTAAGATTCTGGTGTGCCATTTATCTTATACTAGTTCATCTGCTCTATTCATTTGCCCAAATTAGCATCCATTTAGAATCTCAAGTTCTATGTGTTACAATATTATGAAATAAAGAATCTATGATCCTAGCTGCTAGCCTGCTAGCCTGCTAGATACAAGTCAATTTGCTACTGGTCTATTTGGGGCACATATCTTCAATTATGGTTTCCTTTCAGGCATTAGTCTTGGGCTCTTGGCACATTTTAATGCCCTCATATTCCATCGGAATGAGAATAACCATTCAACCGAAGTAGCATAAAATACATAATTTAATTAGCAGAGATAATAGCAAAGAATGAAATTGCCAATACTAATGATGAGAATATTGCTCGAGTTTTCGTACAAAACTTCAAAAATAGCATGCATGCTTAATCCTTAAAAAAAACTAGAAAAATAAAATGACAACCTCAAAAAGGTAGACAAAAAAAAACTAAACAATTTCCATGAAAGCTCACCAATCAAGCAAAAGATGAGGATGAACCAAATTGCAAGTCGAATGGGATGACTATATTGCATTTGATACCGAGACCTTTGGAGCTGTCTTTGAATCGCCCCATACCAGCCATAAAGTTGCTTATCGTAATTATCATCACAGTCTAGGCAACTCTTACTTCATTCATAACATGCATTGAGGCCCTATAGGAGGGGAAAAAAAGGAACTAATAAACAATAATGGGGTAGCATTAGGCTGTGGTAACAAAAAAATCTCAACACTATATCTTAGACAGTATAATAGTTGGTTAGACATTCACCCTAGCCACTGAGGAGGTCTCAACAACTCTGTATTAGACTCTTGATCACGACCTACTGCCTTCAACTTCCTGAAACCATTCTTCGACCACTTCACCTTGGCTACAGATTCGATGGAATTTAGGAAACCATATAAGCTTGGTACCTTTCGTGGGGGAATGGAGGGCAGACCATCAGAACAGTTCTGTTGTAAAACATCATCACCGATAGCAATCATGCAAGTGCCAAGGTCAGCAGCACTAGCAGTCCTCCTATGCCCATGTGACTTCTCGCCCTTAGCCTCAGAGGAAATCCACTCAACAGAGTGACCTGAATTCTTCGATGAATCTGGCAGAGATTCGATATTGATTCTTTGTGGGATTTCATTAGCCCTGGAATGAAAATTAGGAGGAAGGTTCTTCTCTCCCGACACAGAGGGTCCAGACAAAAATAAAGCAAGATCATCCCGTTCACCTTCATCCAAACGCACCCAAGGCATTGGTGTCTTACCCTCCGAATGGGCTGATTCCTGCAACAAATTTTCAATCTTTGAAACTGTGTCCTCAATTGCCGCAATAAAATCTCGATGCCTATCTCTCGCATCCTCACTTGAATTCTCATTGTAACTTGATTGGACAGCCCTCTCGAACTCCTCTAGCTGCAAAACCAATTCAATTTATTAAAATGCTAAACCAATCACAACCCCAAAGAAAATATGACCAGACGAACAACCCGTAAGAAAGGTAGAAAGCATAAGATGACCTGCCATTTGGTGGTGCCAAGGGTAGTACGCAGGTCCCTACGAAGTTCCTCGAAATTCCACGGACTAGAAACCTGTTTTCTCGCGTGTAGCCATGTCCGATACGTCGATTCCATCCTTTGGAACGGGAAAAATAAAATTAACAAAGGGTAATTATTTTCCAAAAACGCACAAACAATTAATGCTAATAAAATAAACGCAACAGAATCTTTTCAAACGATTATTGAGTAATTGAGATTCTGAATCTTAGTTTAGCATTTAAGAACCTTATTAAAAATTCTCAAGAAAAAAAAAACTGTTTTCAACCTCAAAGAAATTAATCAAAGTTAAGACCATCTTTAGATTTCAACATGCCTACAAAACAAAAGAAAATGACAGGAAAACACGGTGAAGCCGGTAGAGGAACCCTAATAAGAAAAGTAAACCAATTACCTGTCGGCAGATTCCTGAACTTCTTCAGCCACAGCGAAGAAATGATCCTTTTCCCATCTATCGAAACTCGTAGCCATCTCAAAAGCGAATTGAAACAATAGTTACAATCCAATGAAACAAAGTCAACAATATCCGCACCCACAATTTTTACAAAGAAAAGCCTAATTAAAAGTGAAATCTAAACTCCCTTAAAACGATCCCGGAGCATAAGTCGCAGACGAATGAAATCTTTAAGATTTGAATTCGAAAGGCCGGGAAAGCTAACAGATCAGGTGAAAGAGGGAATCAAAGGGGACGGAAAATGTTTATATATAGATTTAACATATCGTAGCAGTCAGCCACGCGGCCGCGGTTAAATTGAAATGGGGTCAACACTCAACACTAGTGGGTTAAAACTTTAAAACTAGCCTTTTTTTTTGTTGTTGAATTTGACCGGTATTCGACCAAAGTTTCCGTGTGTTCGAATCTTCGTTACCACCTGAACTTGAATACGGTCAACCATAGGTACTGATTATTAATAAATTTAATTAAGAAAATAAAAAAAGCACAAAAAATAAATCTATAGATAACAAGTAACAACGAGTTTAAAAAAATTAAATCAACAAAAATATTTTTTATAATTAATTATATTTAAAAATTAATATTAAAAAATAATTTAAGTAAATAAAGTCATGATAATATTAAAATAGACTTTATATTTATATAAAATGTACTTATTTTAAACTGATTTATCACCAAAGTAATATTATAATTTTATATGAGATTTATTAATTGGTTTAGTGATTAAGGATGCTTATGTATATTTTGTGTGATTTTAAATTTCGGTATTTATCTCAAAAATATAATGCCTCGATATTTAATTAAAAAATATAACACTTTTATATTAATTATAAATAAAGTTTGACTCCATTATATAATTTGTATCAAATAACATTTTATTAAAATTTTAGTAAATATTAAATTATTAATTTAATAATTAGATTAAAATAAATAATTTTTAATAATTAAAATGGAAGATAATGTGACCAAGAGGATCGATATAGTAATTTTTTGTTGAGTTTGAATGATGGAATTAGAAGTTCAAAATTTATGAATTGATATTGAAAAAGAAAAACTCTCTTTTGCTGAGATTTTGGGCCTTTAAAAGTTGGTCTAGTAGTTGAGTGAGGCTAGGCCTGCCCTTCCGTACAAACGGGAATGGAACATAAATTCAGAAAAGTTGAGAGAGATATGTGTAATTATGCCATAACTTTGTGAAAAGGGGGAAAAACGATGTTGATCTTTGTCACACTGCTTAGTAGGGTTTTGCTTCACATTTCCTCTCTATACCAACTACAGTAAGCGCAGACATGGAAAAAGGGCAGCAACTCTGCGAAGCTGCAAGAAACGGCGACGTCGCGAAAGCGAAATCTTTGATAGCATCAGGAGTCGACGTCTCCTTCTTCGACAGGAATGGACTCACGCCGCTCATGCACGCCGCCAATCTCGGGCATACCGATGTAGTCAAAGCTCTCCTTGAGGCTGGCGCGCCTTGGAACGCTCTTTCTCCATCAAACCAATCAGCTGGCGACTTTTCCATGGACGCCGGTCACCAGGAAGCCTTTGAAGTCCTTCTCAACGCTGGTAATCCGTTACTTTGTTTAACTCTCTACATGAAGTTTAATATCAAAGAGATTTAGGAAGCCGAATAATTCATTAAATTCAGTAATTGAAACCAGTTAGAGAAAAAAGGTTACCCGTTGTTTCAAAAGGACCGACGGTGGAGATTTCAACAGTGAATGTATCTGATGTGTTGACAAACATAAATGTCTGTAATTGAACAGGAATTCAGGCCGAATTGATTTTGGGAACCATTGCAAGGAAAACAAAAAAGAATGGTGATTCCGAAGGGGATTACTTGGAAGATAGAGTTACTTTTAGTGAGGATAAGTTGATGGACTCTGATAGCAAGGCTGTGATGATGGCTTGGGAGAAACCATTGATGGAAGCTCATGCTAAAGCTGTTTGCTCTGGAGGTGGTAACATACTAAATGTTGGGTTTGGAATGGGTCTTGTGGATACAGCTATTCAACAGTATGGTCCAGCTACGCACACAATTGTCGAGGCTCATCCGGAGGTCTATGAACGCATGCTTCGCACCGGTTGGGGCAAGAAGAATAATGTGAAAATAATATTTGGGCGTTGGCAAGATGTTCTTTCACAACTTGAATCATATGATGGTAAGTTGAGTTTTCTTTTACCACTCAATCTCTGTGCACATCTATGTATCACCATGTATGCTACTCATGCTATGGTATGTTCTTATTATTCCGTTGGAGTTGCAAGATAGTGTAGTTTCTTTTCTTTGAATGATTAGAGTATTTGGCTTTGGTTATTTAATATTAATAGTTTGAGCTCTTACCTTGAAGGAAACTTTAGAAAGGAAGTGCTACCAGCTAGTGTAGAGTAATAACCTTGTTACCATGGAAATGTATCCTTGTGATATATAGGGTTACCTACTTAAATAACACCTTGAATTGCATGTGAAACCTTTATAGGTATTTTCTTTGACACTATGGAGAATATTACGAAGACCTGAGAGAGTTTCATCAGCATCTTCCTAAGTTATTGAAGCCTGGAGGAATCTACTCGTTTTTTAATGGTCTTTGTGGAGGTAATGCATTCTTCCATGTCGTTTACTGCCATTTAGTTTCACTAGAACTGGAGAATCTGGGGTACTCGACGCAATTAATCCCCTTGCCTGTGAAGGATTGCTTAGGAGAAGAAGTGCGTGGTGTGAGTCAGAAATATTGGCAACTTGATACGTATTATCTCCCGTTTGTCAGTCTACACAGGAATCTGAATGATGTGTTCTATATTTGAATTACTTTCTCCCTTAAATTTGGATTTATCTAAAGCACTTCAGTATCATCTTCCATACATTTCCTGACTTCGGATTGTTAGGATTGTGCAAGATGACTGACCGGTAATAGACGATGTTGGTCTATCTTTTTGTTTCTGGATTCACTGTGTTGATAACATCTTTCAGAGAATTGGTTATTTAACAAGAATTAGCTCATTGTGTATGTACTGGATCTATTCCAAATTCCTTTGTCTGGATAAGCTTTGTGGCTAGTAAAAAGGACAATTTAGTCAGTTAATATTCCATCGTTGTCCAAACTAGATAACCAATCTGAAAGTCTTTTGACTATTGTAAAGAATGCAAGATATAAAGACTTGTAAAACACTTAAACTAGGAATCCTGTTTAAATTACATGCCAGTTCCTTATATAGCTTGGCCACTGTACATTATTTCCTCACCTGCCCCGACATTTTTTTCTCTTTAAAACCCAATTTACTGTCCCCTGATTTTCTTGGAGAGCATTGACGAACACAGTTGCATCTGCTTTGCACGTTGCTGTAATATAATATAGTTTGAGACGGATTCATATACTGTTAAGGGATATCGCTTGTGCTTTAAGGGCGCTCGGAAGTCTCAGTATTAGTATCATGAACCCAGTCGATGTCATGATTATGTCCAACTGAAAGCTATTGGACTGCGAACAATGTGTTTTCCATCTGACCATTCGAGATGGGCAAAGCTGGTTGTCCCGGACGGCATAGAACTCGTTGTGAATGTCACGGTATAACTTTTTTTCTCGTACTGTGCACCAAAAGTAAGCGTTGCTGGCACGACCGACATTTTCACTGCTTGAGTCTGTGAATACAAAGAAATCTTGTATGTTGCTGGGGCACCAACATTAGTAAGGGTCCTAGTATAGTTGATGGTGCTTGAGACGCCGGCTGCACCCTTGCCTAATGCAGTTTCCAGGGGAACAGAGAAGGATGGGTAGTTAAAATCTCCCAGAGTATACTTTTTGCTTTTTTGACAAGTGAAGTCTCTATGGGTAGTGCTCTTAATTTGGTTTGGTGTGTAGTTCAAGGCACAAAGAAAACCTAGATAGTCATCGATAGTGGCATCATAGACAAGGCCAGGATCAAGGGCTGCAACTGGATCCACATGCCCGGCACCATAATCGAATGGTGTTGCTGGTCCTCCAGTGGCAACATCTTCGACTTTTTGACCACTTTTATAAGCTGTGTAAGCTGTGGTCATGAGGGCAGATTTAATTGCAGCTGGACTCCATTCTGGATGAGCAGCCTTGAGAAGTGCAGCCAACCCACTAACATGGGGACATGACATTGATGTGCCTGAAATGATGTTGAAGTTTACATGCCTTGGGTCACCATCTAACCCGGTCGGACCAACTGCACCGGTCCACCCAGCAAGGATATTGACTCCTGGTGCGATAATGTCTGGCTTAAGTATTGCTGGAGTGACTGGGTTTGGACCTCTAGAACTGAATGCTGCTACCACGGGAGATGGTTGAACGCCTAACTTTGTGGTTCCAGGACCAATTATGGCCGTTGGATTACGATCGGAAGCTATATATTCTTGATTGCATCCCCAGTCTTCTGTCCAACAGCTGCGGAAGGTAAAAGATGCGCGTCGGCAACTAGCTCTTCCCCGTATGTATCGGTGTTTGATAAAATCATCCCTACACCACCAGCTTCTTTCACAGCAACACCCTTTTGCACCCTCGCACTACCCCCTCGATCACATACCACAATTTTCCCTGAAACTTTTTCCGGAACAAAACTTCCAGTCATGCAAAGATTTCCACCACTTGAATTACTGATGTTACCACCATAAACTAGTGGCACCATGGAATCAGATAACTCCTTTCCATTATAAAGTGTCACGCCAGAGTATTTTTCATTGTTTCCCAAAGTAATAGAGGCAGGGAAATCACGGTCCAACGTTCCAGCACCTACAGTTGTTATCCATGGTGCAACATTTGACAAGCTGCCTGGTGTGGGTCCACTGTTTCCAGCTGAACAAGATACAAAAATTCCATTTGCGGCTGCTGAGAATGCTCCAATGGCAACAGTGTCAACATAGTACTCTGATAGTCCTCCCCCAATAGACATCGACAAAACATCCACTCTATCCGCAACAGCTGCATCCAAGGCTGCTACAACATCAGAGCCAAAACACCCACCAAGCCAACACACCTTATAGATGGCCACTCGGGCTTGTGAAGCCATCCCCCGTGCTGTCCCAGAAGCATATCCTAGCAAGTTAGCGAAGGGAACAGCTGACCCGGCAGCTGTAGTTGCTGTGTGAGTTCCGTGTCCATCATCATCTCTCGGGGACTTCGACTCCATCGATTCATCTATGGGTCCAAACGCAGCTTCGTACCCTTTTGAGAAAAACCTGGCACCAATTAGTTTCCTGTTGCAGCTTGATGCGCTGAAGTTTCTCCCCACCTCGCAGCTGCCTTTCCAGCGTGATGGTACTGGCCCAAGCTGCGAGTCATCGAAACTTTTAAGTTCAGGCCACACTCCGGTGTCCAAAATGCCAACAATCACCTCACCCATCGAACCAGAGGTGGGGAAGAGAGCCGTGCTCTTTTCTAATCCAAGGAACTCCGGCGTCCGAGTTGTGTGCAGTTTGTATATCACATCGGGTAAAACAGAGAGAATTCCAGGTTGTTCGCCGAGCGATTCAGCTTCCTCAGCTGTTAGCATCGTGGAGTAGCCATGGACTACGTTTTCATATTGGTAAAGCACGGATGCCGAGTCTGAAACAGTTTTTAAAGATGAGTCATACCAGAGGGAGTGATGAGTGAAACTTTCTGGCATGTTGGACTTGTCCATGTGGACTATGTAAGTCCTTTTGGCTTGCTGGAGCTTCTCTTCTGCTACGATGCATGCATGATACAAACTCAGGAATAAAACATCTACTGGTTTGAACTTCAATGACTTCATGGCTTTCAGTCTAGGAAACAAGAACTGCTCGACTTTGCAATGCATTGGTTACCAAGGGTCTACTATATGAGGAGAGAGGGGTTTAACCCCAAATCGGTTCCCGACAAATATCCCTAGTAGAAATTTCTTCTGGTGATTAAAATAAGGGTAAAATATAGTAATGGTCGCTGACCTTTTCTGAATTTTCATTTAGGTCCCAAACTTTAAAACTTGCAATGCACACTGCCTTTAAAAGATGCTGACGTGGCAGTTAGATCACCGTTTGCAGTTATGAAAAAAGGAAAAATATAAATAGTCACTAAACTTTTCAGGCACTTACATTTATGTCCCTCAACTTTTAACACTTGTAAAATAGTCCTCAATTTCATTCTAAACCCCAAATTTCAAAATAATTCAATTACATTCTAAACCCAAAATTCTAAAATACTTCAAATAATATTGTGTTAACCAAGATTTCATGCTAACAAAGATTTATATAATTTTTTTTATTTTTTTGATGTTTCGATTGAGTTGTATTGAATGAAAATTAATTGTTACTGTTAAATTGAGTTCATGTGCAATTGAATGGTGGGGTATGCATGTGTAAATGACGTTTGATGGTATGTATATTGAGTTCTAATTTCTTATTGTTTTTAAGATCGTGTTGCATGTGTATTGGGTACTGAGTTTGAATAAAATATTGTAAACATTGATGCTATTTAAATATTGGTTGTTGGGACATGAATGTGAAACATTTTTTTCATGAACTTAAATCTATAAATTTTCAGAATAGTAACAATCAATTTTCACATGAACTTGGCATCATTTACACATCCATACCCCACCATTCAATTGCACATGAACTCAATCGAACAATAACAATCAATTTTCACCGAATACAACTCAATCAAAACATAAAAAAATAAAAAAAATTATATAAATCTTGGTTGACATGAAATCTTGGTTAACTCAATATTATTTTGATTATTTTTGGAATTTAGGGTTTAGAATATAATTGAATTATTTTGGAATTTGGGGTTTAGAATAAAATTAAAGATTGTTTTGCAAGTTTTGCAAACGGTGATCTCACTGCCATATCATCGTCTTCTAACGGCAGTGTAACGTCGGAGACCATATTGCAAACGAACTAAATATTGGGGGATTGTATTATAATTTTTAAAAGTTGGGGGACCTAAATGAAAGATTCAGACAAGTTCAGTGACCATTACTATACTTTACCCTTAAATAATGGCTACTCATTTTCTTTCGGCTAATTTATAATTTTAAAAGACTGAATTTATAACAGACTTCAGTTTAGAAATCCAAGGTATAAAAGATAAGATTCCAAACAGTTCGGGACACTGTCACACTTGTAACAGGTAAGCAGATGTCCTGTCAATTTTAGTCTTTTTAATTAGACAGAGTTAAAGGCCATCAATCATCGCTGTAGAAATGGTGAATTTGCTGGAAAATATGCTCAGTTCAACATGTGAACCGATTAAGGGGCCATTTCTTTTTCAGTAATTAACACGGAAGCAATGAATATATGAGGGAATTGCTTTCATTATAAATTCTGAAAACAGAATCTGCAACATGATTCAAGTGATTATTACAACAAGTTATCCCACCTTCATCGTATTCATTGTAAATGAAAAAACTTCCACGTAAATGATCATTTATGTGATGATTATTCCAACATGCATGTTATCTTTTCTTATAAATCAGCACTCCCTTTGCACCCAAAATCCCACCTTCATCGTACAACGTAAAGTGATGGTGGGGAATCCACTAATTTCCCGTTTGTTGAAATTGCTGACAAAGATTAAAGTTACCGGCTGTTCAACTTTTTTAATCCAATAAGTGATCATTATCAGGCTGCCAGAGCCATAGTGGAAGCTCATGAATTGGCCATATCCCAAAGGCCAAACCAACCAATTCATGGCTGAGAAAAGAGGATTTAGATTCCCGTACAGTATGTGAACATCGAGTCATTAAGCCATATTCCCTGATAAAATTGGCATAAAGTAATAAAAAAAGTTGATTAAATGATGGAATTATTGGAATGCTTAATCAACTGAAACGAAAGGTTTGTTTCTCCCACTCTATCTGAGTGGCAAATTGCTGGAAATGGACCCGTACTCCTGTAATGATAGCCAGGTATTCTTTGGATCAGTGTCGTTAGCAATTAATTCTGCAATATTTTTTGTCGAAACGAGCAATAAGTCTATTTTATTAACT